TACATATAATAAAAGATGTTTTATAATATCTTGCTTATAAATTTCGTGCGCAAAGTATAGTTAGGAAAAAAAATAATATATAAACATTATTATATAAAAATATATACATATATAATAATTTCTAGTATGAATTTTATGGACGTATGAATTTCGAAATCCCCTAGAGCCATAAAATCTTTAAATAAACACATCTTTCTTTATAGCATAGTATAAATATACAAGGTTTTCCACGATCGTCTTCTCGTTTTGTATAAAGAATGATTGCATTTATGCTAGAGCTATGATTAATCTGACAAGAATATCGATGAGCATTAAATTGAATAAAATTGAAAATTTATTTAAATAACTCCAGACAATTCTACAATATCACTGCGATATCACTATAATTATTTCATTTTCAGTTATTATTAAACTTCGTCTGGATAATAATTAATATCTCGCCAATAATAGTATATAAATATAGTTTATGATTTTTAAGTGATACTTTGAATAATCAAAGTAGACATTTTCAGGCACTTTTGGGAAACAAAGATGGACTCTTTATTAAATTGACTTTAAACGTGATTTAAACGAGGTCATCAGGGTTTTCTCTCGTTTGCGGTCTCCTCGAGATCCGGGTCCTCGTTGATAATCGATATGTCACGCATCGATGGCCTGCGCGATTTCCAAGCTTCCGGTAGAGCGATCGGCGTGGAAGTCTTCGTCAAGAGCTTTGGTCCCGAGAGCGTGATGATGATAGCACCCGCCGGTGCGGTCAAAAGCACCGAGAGGACGCACAACATCAGTATCATCTCGGCATATTCGACCTCACGTTGATTACCTTTGTTGACCTCGTCGAGGGTGACAGGACCCAGGGCCGCTTGTACGGTCGCCTTGACCATCAATGATAGAGAGATGAACACTTTCTCCTTGAGATTGAGGTTGGAACCGATTCCACACACCATCGTTGCTCCGATCCGAATAACGATGCCAGCAACCAAACAGCCTAAGCTAAGATAGACGATCTTCCCTTCCAGTTCACTGATCGTGATCTGCGCACCGGTAACACCAAACAGGATCGGCTCAAATATCATCCAGAAGATCTCGAAAGATGTAGCTACTGGATTCTGCAATGTTAAACAAACATACAATTCTGATAAGATATATAATAGACGTGGTAAGCAGGGAAATTTTTTTTACTTTCGAAAGTAATATTCAATAATTAAAAATATAAGAAAGACAACAACAGTGGAAATTTGTGTGTATTTGCCGGCATATACAATGTAAAACGTTAAAATGTCGCGACTTTTCCAACAGAAAATGATTTCCAAAATAATGATTTTCCACTGAATTTCCTTTAAAGGATAACCGATTCGGTATTCGGCGATGATATCGCATCGCATTGTCCATGCGCTCGATATCGGGATATGGAAATCTTCCAGCGTTGCATGGAAATGCAGAATATCCAGAGTTCACGCGGTGTGTGCAGGCTCGTATTTACCTCTATTGTTTACATGCGCTCGCGGTGCGTAGGAAATCTCGACGATATTGATTTATTTAATTTATTTCCATGCAATTTCCTGATAATGGTACGCGGTAGTCTCGCAGATACAAGAAAATGATAACGTATTCTTCAATATACATTTCCTCAATGTAGCTCTTCTTAAGATGAAATAGATAACATTGAACATTAAAAAAAATATGTATATATAAAAATGTATGTCAAATATTTTAGAGAAAATAATAGATTGTATTCAAACTATATTATATATCATCATATCTAATTTTACATATATATATTTATGTACATATACGTACGTGTGAAAGTATATTTGCATTCTAATCCAATTATATATGCACGTTTAGTTCCATTTAATTCTACGATATTATATCTGATGAGATTTAATGTCGTGTAATATCGTGCTTACATACACGCGGAAAATAGTGGTTAAACTCGGAATAAATTACATCATTCATGATTATTTAAGACAAAAGGCATTGCCGTCGTCGCATCATCGTGCGATTGTTGCGCAGTAATTAATCCGACTGGAATATATTATGCCGACAGGCTCCATGACATACGACGCGCATATCACATGCAGAGGGGGGTGTAATATCGACAGATGTGCTGGTTACAGTCACGTCACGAAACGCGCGTGCGAAAGAACGTGTCGCCGCCACCGCCGTCGTCGACAGCGGGAATGCGACGCGAGATGCGGAAATAGGAACGAGCCAGTTGACTTCCAATCCGCACCCCCGCCCGGATAGCGACGATACGTCGGCCTGAATATTTCACGAGATTCAAGTTATTGGGGCAGGAGAGTGAAACGCCGCCGGCGCCTCCCGTCACCGATACCTGTTCCTTCCGCCGACAGATTAAATATTTAGTGTTTTGTATTTTTGTATTTTTATAGAAATTTTGAAATGTCGATGAAAGTATCTCGATGCTTTACACGCAATATCTTTTGGATTAATTCAGCTTGTCGAGTATCTATTATCTCTCTTCGATCGTTCGAAAATAATTTAAAACCTTATAATTACCCGCGACTAGATTAACAACGCATGTATAATGCATTTCAAGTATATTGTAAGTCATGAGAAATTCACAAATTCTCTATTTAATATCCGATGTTTGAATAGGGAGAAAGTTTGAGCAAAGGACGTATAAATCTTTTATCAAACATCAGAGGGATTTACTCAAACATCAGAGAAATATTAGATGGAGGACTTATAAATTTTTCAAAGCTTGCTTATAAATTTGTACTTACGTCGTCCACTTCCCAACCTTGTTGTTGCCAAAAGTAGCAGCTGACGAAAGCTGCAGCTACGACCGCAAGCGGCCCAGCACCCCCGAGCTCGATTGCCTCGCTGCCGAAAACCGCCAACAACCCTCCTCCGAGTAACATCAGCACTCTAAGAGGCACCATGAACGGCTGCAACATTAGCACATAAACGAAGTGTTAGGATCCGACAGGAAGCGCCGTATCATGATTACGAAGTGATTTATTGATCTCATTATGAAAGATAAGTTTCCAAATATAAGCGCCTCTCTCATCTTGATATACACGGTCGATATATACGCTTGATACGGTAAACGATGCATTTGAGTAATATCGGGGGGTTTAAGCTCGCCTATAATAGCACATTCTCATTATTCAATTATCATTAAAACGTTTCGCTTGTAGTAAAATCCTTTCACAAGAAAAGCTCACTAAAATAAGATATATAAATTATAAAAATAAATTTTTCGTATATATTCCAAGCAAGACGATCCTGTATGCTATAAATATCAAGAGGAGGACGAAAATATATAGCCTACGAAGTAATACAAACTTAGCGACTGACAATAGGATATAAATAGGATTTATGAAGAAAGTAGCAATTTTAAACACATTGTCTTGACTCTACACTGTAGTTTAAGTTTATCCGAAACCGTTAAATCAGGTTGCAGCAAGCTAAGAATACTGCAACTATCGCCGCAGTGCCACGGCGTTAATCCTTACATGAATGATACTTCAGATACGACGAGGGTGCCGATGTGGTAACCACTCCTACGTCGTCTCTTTCGAAAGCATTTGCCCTCAAACATTTAATTCATCTAAATTATCTTCGCAGATCTTGGGTCAAATTGCATTAGATTTCAAATTCACTTTCGCGATCGATGAAGGAAACGGTGCAGTATCACCGCGAAATCTTATAATAGTATCTCGTTCAAATAAAATTATCTAAATAAAGAATTGAATAAATATTATTAAAAAGTTTTTCATTTAATTATATCATCAGATGCATATTTCCGAAAAGATACGTTATCTGTTTATCTTCTAGATAAAAAAAAATCTAAATTGTCTATTTTGAGTATCCTTCGCGCAAACGAGGGCGGATCTATTTTTGCAAGACGCCTACGTTAACTATAAATTCCCTGGTTATCCTCGATTTTTACATAAGATATAAAAGCGCATTTCTCGATAGATGAAAGTCTCCGATAACTTCGAGAATATAAGAAAAGTAAATGCCGTACGTATTAAAAGGAAAAAGTATACAATAAAGATATATCTGAAAGATGTCCTATTTCTCTTTTGTAAAGCTTTTTAGAGTTATTTGACGAAATGGCTAATAATTGGCAAATGTGTTTAAATTCATTCGGAGATTTCATCGAGAAAATATGAGCGTTTATGCGGCGACAAAAGTACGTTTACGATACTCGACGGTTTGCGGATGTGGCAATCTGATTGTACGCAATTCATAAAGTGTTTACAGGATTTTCGCAGCAAAACGGTAGCTGTTGTAAGTGGATTTATCCGGCGATAGTAGATTTATTCGGATTTGCGCATGTGCTCTATCCTCACGAGTGCTTTCGCGGTGTGCAGCGGAATCTACTGCGGGGAGATTCATCGTGCGATGCGATGCGGGGTGAACGACACCCCGCTAGTTGACCCTATTTTCGCTCGTACCCTTGTTATTCTTGTATTCCGATTCGGTATAGTCGATTTCATATCATCCGACGACCCGTATGCAGCGAAGGAAATAATGCAAACTGTGTTAATTTCATGCAAATTATATTTACGTGAATAAAAATAATTTAATTGGCATCCTCTCTTGTTCGAAAACTTTGGCGCGATATTATTATTTAAGCGGTTGTTTCATATCTTTCGCGTGTGTTTCAAGAATCGAAAGATGGGAAACTTCGAAAATGGCGATATATACAGTTGCTGGGTTACATATATCCCGCACTTTATGTCGCTTCTTCTCGAAACCACGTTTTTCCGAACGCCGGCTGACATAACTTATGAATGAAAGCTATTCTCTTAAAGAGGAAGTTCAAAACACATCTGCGCACATCGTGTGAACTTCGCGTCGTATGACATCTATTCAAGTATGAGAGAGATAAGAAAAGTAATATTTCTTTCTTGTAAATTTATTCATATATTTTTCGATACAACTCGCATATTCGATAGAATGCGAAAATGTAGTTCAGAATCGTAATTTCTAACGCCCAGTTTAGTTTACCAAACAGCGGGAAAGTACTTACATCGCCTTTTTCTGGCACGTATTTGGCCAACCAGCCCCACATGATACCGAATCCCAGACCACCGATAACAGCGATGGGCCCCTGAAGAATTTGGTACCATAGCGCGTCGTGGGAAAACATGATACTCTTTATAATACCGTAAACTGCCACCGATGCCGCATCGTCAATTCCGGAAATCGCAATAATTAGCGTCGGGATCCCCTAGAAATACATTGCAAAATCATTAATTCCACGAAAATCAAAATGTTACTTCAGGATTTTCTGTATAAGTGACAGTACATATATCATACGTAGCAACATATATACATAGTATATGCAAATCATATTCCTCATCGATATGTAATAATCGTGTTTATGAATAAAAAAGTTAACATTACAGATTCCAATATCGAATATATCGTTTGATAATATCAATGTGCAATGATATAAAGCTGGAGTTGTAAATATGCATTAACTATTTATCGTCATAGTTATTGTAGGCAATATGCAAATGTATAATGTATATTCAGCTTAGTATTTTGATCTATCGCGACATACAGTTACAAATTTCTAGATAACATACATGCGCGCAGATATCGCGCAAAAAATATTTCTTGTACGAAGCAGTTAAGGAAACGAAAAGAAAAAAATCATATAAAACAATTTTACATAATCATTCTTTGATAGGATTTATATATTCGTTAATGAAAATTTTTTATTGCTATACATATGAAACGAGCAGATTTTCAGCGAGTTCAAATAAATTAAAAAATTACATGAATCCATGGATAAACTAAAAGGAATCTTTTTCGAATTTTTTAAAACGAGAGATGCCAAAGTTATAAAAAGGAAAAAAATCAATCCTTTTGAACTTATATTCGTTAGAATGAATACAACTTTTTTTTATTTATTTATAATGATATAATTTCAGAGATGCATTTAATGGTATTGTATCATTTCATTAATAAACGAAACAAATATGAAATTTTGCATATTTATTTTGTATTGTGTTTGAAACGATTTAATGCATATTTTGTGATTCCGTAAAATAATAGAGAAAAGAGAGATACTTAATTTTTATGTATTTCCAGTATTCATGTTTTAATTAAAATGTGAAAATGATTTGTTTGTCCATTAAACATTACAAATGAAAAAGCTTTCGTTTGATTTAAGATATCGTTGAAAATAATCCATAAAAAAAAACTTTTTAAAAACTACTTCAAACTATTTGTTATAAAAATATTTAATGAGAAATCATTTCTCTCAAGAAATAAAAGCTCTGATCGGAGGGAAAAGAGAAAGAAAGTAAAAGAAAACCAGATGAGGTGCTATTGAGAGTAGTCGACGATACTCGAGCACGATCCTTATGGTGTCAGAGCAGCGTTATCGGTGTCACGATAGCTCGTTCGGGATTTAAGTCTGCCGACTATCGTGATTCTCGGAGTCGGACTATAAAAAGAACGAGAGAGAACGAAGGAAGGAAGACGTCTAATAGATCGCGGCACACGATCACTACGTCAAGATCAGCCGAGGAGGTCAGCGTTCCGAGTTTCCTTCAGCTCGTCATGAGCTTGCATTCGTGAGTGCTTACGAATACTCTTGTAGGTACCCGTAGAGCTCTTACGTCGACGATCGGTCAATGTCTCGTCGTAAAATTTTCCACCGCGACGCGATAAGAATCCTTGATATATCTCGCAACCGACGAATATCAAGGGCCTGGCGTGGATCACGTTGGGACGTCTCTCGCTTCCGGCCTCGTTGCATTACATTCCGCCAAATGAAGAAGTATTGTCTAGGATCTTTTTCGACTCATGAATATCACATTCACTGCAATGGTCTTTGTACTCTTCAAGCAACTTCCACTCCATTTCCTAAACTGAATTATTTAAGTCCGGTACGTTTCTTCTTCCGTTTCGTCTTTGTTCCACTGCAACTCCCGAGACTCTTTTGTATCATATCGGATCCTTACGCTGCCGCATTGCGAACTTTTGCAAATTTCCCCGATGCAATCTTCTAGCGCGGCCATATAATTAAATTGGGAGGAAAATCGCGTGCGCGGCTGCATGTTCGAAGGTACCTGCCTGAATTTTGGCCGATTCCCGATTCGTACAATAAAGAATTTCAGCGATGCATCCACAAAACATCGTACGATGTATAAATTAGATTTCACGAGAATGATATTCCATTCCCGCGAAACCGTTATCGCGCGATTATCGTGTTGCTGCATAACAAGACGAAAGAAATTTAATTACTCTCGCGCGCGTTGCGTTCATTAACATGGAAACTCATCTAATGCGCTAATGTTGAGCGCGTCAAACATAGCGGCTGCATACCCACGCTGTTATTCGCTTTGCCAGGACATTCAATTAATATAAAATATATGAGCCGCGATGTAATCAATTACTCTGGCAATTACAATTAAATATTAATTTAGCAACATTTGTAATAATCACCATTTGCACCGTGTAATTTATTCGTTTCTCTTTGTTGAAAGTTTGTAAAGCTTTGCTCTTTTTAGTTTCGTTTACATAATTTATTAATTGCATAAGTAAAATTGCGAATAAAATTATAATTGCAAACACAAAGAGAAAAAAGTATAATAAAAAGATGAGAAAAAAGGAGACGAGAGAGAAATATGATAGAAAAATATATATATATATCAGAAAAATTATAAAAAAAATAAAACTGCATATTAATAAATATTTTTGGACGGTGGTGTCGATTTTAATTATTCTTAAGCGAATATCTTATGAGGTTAATCTTGCTACTTATTATCCGCTTAAAAAGTTAGATCTATTATAAATATATTTCATTATCCTGTGTACAGAAGTCGGGCGAAATTAAATTTAGAAGAGACTTACGACCCATTTTTCTAAATGAGAGATGAAATCTCGCGATAAGTGAATATTCAGAGGACGGAATAAACGGTCTTACCTTGGCGACTCCGTAACCCTTGGCACGTAACCTGAAGAGGCAAGGCACTACAACGGCTGGCGAGACGGCCGCTATGATGCTTCCAAGGAGGTAACCCCATATCCAGGGTAAATCTAAGATGTATCTCGTCATCGCTGCTATCACCGTTGCTTCCACCGCCCATGGTATCAAACCTATCTTTGGCACCGTGACCTTTAATTTTCTCAGAGCGTTTGGATCGAGATCCAAGCCTGCTCTAGTAAGTATGATAACCAAAGCGATTTTCCTGCAAAGAAGAGAAGAGAGAAGTCACATTTATGTATATAATAATTTTTTTCAGCAATATGCGATATTTAGTAAGTAACTGGGAGCGCATTACAATTTGATTACTGCAGAAAAAATACCCGCAATCAAAAGTTAACTCTTCTAAGAAAAAGATAGTCTTTTTATATAATCTTTTTTCCTTAAAAAAAAAAAGGCGTTACAGGAAAAGTTCGCTACGCGCAGTTTTGATCACATTACGCATATTTTCAAGTTTGATAACACACTCAAAAGAAAAGAAGTTAACCAACTTTCTTACAACAGAACGCAGAAAAGGCTGATGTATCCCTTTTCTGCAATTCATGTGTCTTCGAAACCTTCGAATCCGCCAAATCGAAAGCGGGCGACAAAAGTTTCGGAGCGACGCTCATCGCACACACATCGGGCGCGGCTTTACGATGAAAATTCAGGTGCGGACGATCGTTAAAGCCTTGGTTGTCTTGAACTTTCGGAAACCCGTTTAGGAAAGGCACACCTTAGGAAACTTATCCTATTACGAGTTTCCCGGCGAGAGAAAGGTTTACGAAGTCGCGTTCTATGCGACGTCGCTCTCCGATCGCAGGGAAACGCGTCGAATTTACGCCAATACAACATGTGATATTTATTTCCCATTAGACTTTTACGAAACGCACGCTAGCCATGTGCCATTTATTTTTTTACATCATATATTATTTAAACTAATAATTTAAAATATCCCAAATTATTATTTAAACTATAATTTAAAGTATCCCAAATTCCGAAGTAATGTTTTTTCGACGTATGAAAATTTGGCATAAAAATGATAATATTAATTAAATTTAATTTACGAATCGTTTTTTGATTAAACTAAGGTAATTTATATTATTTAAATAAATATATTAGATTTTATGTATGATATTAGTTCAATTATCAAAATTAATTTGAAATGCAAAGAGAGATACAGAAAATATACAATCTCAAATTATATTACAAAATGTTGAATATTTTGAAATGTTAATTAAATTAATCGTCATATTTAATTATAGTTTTTCTCGGTACTTCATTAAGACGCTCAATTATCTTATTATTTAAACATGATTTGAGCAAAAAAATAGTGCGACGGTTTGTATATTATCAAATTTCTTTTCGAAATGCGATTGCAACAAATATTGGAAAATATTCTGTATGAGTATTATAATTAACGATTAATCAATTTTAAAATAAACGATGCGTAAATGTATCGCGATAATAGTTTATTATCGAAACGTATATCTCGCGTAAATTATTTATTACAATTAAAAATATAATATTTCAAATGGGAATCAAAATTTTAGAAATAAAAATTATAAATTAATAAACTTTATATTACAATCGTTATCGAAATAATAATTATTTCTCTAACTCTATTAAAAAAGTCAAATATATCCAATCTGATATTTTAAACTTTTCGCCGATTTAAATGTAATTTATAAATCGAATTAAAATTGACAAGAATAATAATAAGATACGTAAACTATCAAAGATCAATTAAAATAATTAAATTAAACGCGAATCAAAGTAATGAAAACCAGTACTACCTAATACATCAATCATTTAATTAATAATTAATTTAATCTTCGAAAAAATATTTCGCATAAATTTATTTTATAATACGTAAATATATCGCAACGATAATGTATTACTTAACGCAATATTTAGCTTTAATTTTCTTTAGGTATATATTATTGTTTATCCGAAAATTATTCAATCAAAATTTATCATATAAATAATGGATAAATCTAATTATATTCTTGAATATTAATATCCGCAAATATTTAATTTTAACTATATATATATATATATATATATATATATATATATATAATTTTATATTCTTAAATATAATATTAATTATATTCTTGAATATTAATATCCGCAAATATTAATATTCAAGAATATAATTAATATTATATTTAAGAATATAAAATTATTATTATTATTTGTATATTAATTCATTTATGTAAAAATTAGAGTCATAATATCTTTTAGTTATAAAATAAATTACAAATTATATATTAAATTTTTTATATAAATAAACCTTTCCAACGGGTACACCTTGAGTTGGTGAGAAAGCTTAATACCGGAAGGTTTATCCTGAAAGCAAACTAAATACCCAAATGACTCATAACAATGCTTTTATAGCATTATCATGAGTCGCAAATACCTCATATGTAATCATCATATTTAAGCGCACATTAATGTCGGTTTTAAGTGTTTCGCGAATGTTAGTAATAACTTTGTGTAAATAATTCACTTTCGCTTTGATAAGCGATTTGGTTTTAAATCTATTGAAATTCTATCTCGATTGCTCGATAAAGGCAAGGTGGGATCATCTTTATTTACATTTAGTTACATTTTTATTTCATCTCTTGTACCTTATGATATCGCTTAGCTTTATCATCATGTTTTTATATGTAGTTAGCCAAACACTTTGCTCACTTATATTTTGAAGATAGATATACGGTTTGAGACAAAAATCGGAGCAAATACCAATTGTGTCGATCCTATCAATCGATTTTCCTTCTCACGGATTTAACTCTTGCTCCAAGTTATCTCGTCGACTTGAAATGTGATCTTCACACGAAATCGGATATTACTTAGTGATCGCAAAATTCGAAAATGTCATTCAAAGTGTCTCACGTTTGTTTTTATGATGAATTTGTTAAAAATTAAAATTAAAATTATTTTTAAGAAAAATAAACTCGAATTTGTTTTCTTAGAAAAATTTAAAAAACATTAATAAACTTAATAAATAAATTTTCATTATTAATAATATATAAATATCAAAGTGACAGATATTAGAATATTAGAGTAAATTTTCATATTTTAAGAGAGATGCAAATATTATTAATTATTTTCAACACGCAAAATATATTTCACACATAGAACACGTGCTGAAAAACAATGTTTTGCAGATTTTAAACAAGTTTATTTTTTGTATTTAATTATAATTATCTAAGGGGGAAATATGTATGGAAAGATTAGCATCATTATTGCATTTTACACATTGCTACGTAATACACACCGTAATACAATAGCACACGGGCTTTTCCAATCGTGTTTTAATAATAAATAAATAATTTTCCCTTCAGATGTATATACACGACACATATAATAATAATATAACAACGAAAGATATTTATTTTTAATTAAAATGTAGTAGAGAGAGAAAAGTGCTCTTCTGTTAATTTCATTATTCTCTTGTATGATAGTAGAGGGGTTAAACATTTCATCAGATGATAAGACTGTGGTACACGCGTGTAATAAAAGTATAATAGAGACAGTAAACACTGATGTAAAGGATACGAAAGATCGATAATTGATAATACCGAATACGTTTGTACAATGTCTCGTGAAGCATAAATGTGTGTCTCGATGTTTGCTTAATTGTCGTGTATAACGCGGCTACGTAATGAATATGTGAAACATATGAGCGATCCATGACTTCATGATTATGTAAACAAAAATGAATATTGGATTATAATTTAGTAGCGCGAATCCCTCGTTGGCGTTTCATTTAAATTGCAAAGTGCAGTTGTTTGGCACGTTAAATTAGTATTCCAAAATTTTAGCCTTCAATCCTTAAACTTCCGACGTTGCATCGTTACATCCGATTTCCCAAGAGTTTTTTCTTGTCGAGAATCTCCGTTATACGAGCAATTATCATCTATCTAATAATTTCGCGATTGATGTCACGTGTTCAATATTCAATCTTTTTACATGGTATCAGCGATCAAATACTTGCGTATCAATTTCTGAGCAATCATCGAAATCCGCTGTTCGCGAATCGTGTGACATTGCTGCTCTAGTTTTTCTTGCAGATCAAAAGCGATCTTACTTTGAAGGCGGCTCCATCCTCACATGTATAATTTACGATCCGTATAATCAACATATATACATTCGCATCAGTAAACGAGCGCATGTTAACGGACTCGTTGCAGCAGTGATGTAGCAGAGGAATTTTACAAACAAGATAAACTCTCGCAGCCTTTTCATGGCGTCGAGAGAAAAAGCAATAATATATAATGCAAACACACATTTTATGCATTAATAGTTATATAATTATCTGAAATATATGATATTATTGAGTTTCACAGATACATTGCTAATAGATATCATATTATAAATTGAATAGATATTAATTGATAGCGAATATGCGCATTTTAATATGCGGTTCTTTTAAATTTACAAAGTTTTAAACGTGTAATTAATATAAATTGAAATATTGGGGACACACGTGGGCGTCAAAAGAGAATAGATGAGGGGGGGAGGAATAGACGAGGAGAGGAGAAACGATGAGAATATCCGTAGAAGATGAGAATATCCGTTGCGTTTCTCGTAAATATCGCGCGATACGCTCTACTTCAATCTCGGAGGATCAAAGGAATTTTTTCAAAATGAGCGTACCTAGAAGGACACGTTCTAGCGCGTCGTGCAAATTACGCGGCGAATGCTGCACACGTATGTCGCAAGAATATTTACGACAGATTCACGTTCGTATTTATCGATGTGGAAGCGTAAGATTCCTCGGGACGAGAAAATACACGAGGAAAAAATACGGGATTGATGCGTTACCGAGATATCGGGGATAAATGGAAATTTCGAACAAGTGGAGGAATCAAAACGTGAGAAGAATTTCCTCACTTTTTGACGATCAATGTCAAAAAAATGTGTCATTCATACATCGATACATATCGTATTGACATATCGCAATACAAATAACTCATATTTTTTATTGTAAAAGATGATCAAGTTATTTTATAGTTTTCCGTTCAAAGAAATGATTTTGCAACTGTAGCAATTTTCTAGGTATGAAAAATTAACTAATTAATAAATAATTAAGAAATACTGCGACATCGCATATTATATTGTTTTGTACTTAATCGATCTGAATGCTAGAGAATTTATATCTGAATTGTTAGTGAAATTTAGAAAAAAAGTCTATCTCGGCATTTTTATGTTAAAATGAATCATTTGCTATTTATGTTAAAGTGAATCATTTGTTATAAAGTCTAATTGACATACAGAAAAATCGTTTCAAAGCTCATTCTAGTTATATCGAAGTTCCTTTTTTATCCGATGCAGTGATAATTATTATTTATTTTTATTAATTATTTGACAATAGAATCTTAATTTGAAGATATTATTGGAGATTGTAACTACAAATTCTACATGTTACAAACAATGTTCTAGCAGATAAAAAAATAGCGATAAATTTTTGTTGTTACATTTCTGTAAAAAAATCTATCTATATCAGCAAAATATTTTTTTGAGTATTGAATAAATATTGTATATCCAGTAAAAATTCACCCATGACTGCATTTCTACTGGGAACTTTAATTACAAAACGATTCGAATTGTATTGAAAAAATTGTATTAAATATGTGATTCTATTAAGATTCACAATTATCTCATTTCGATGATTTTCTGATGATTGACGATAAATTATGCAAGTCAATAAGAAGCTAACCGCGATTTGATCACTTTATTAGTCTTGTAGTGGGCCGCGAATTGGGGGGGAGAGGGGTATTTATGCTAGCATATATCGGATGGCTTTGCCCTAAGCATAAACATGTAAGCAAATTGCTTACAATGCACAGCTTATGTTTGCTTGTATGTAGCTTAGCTTAGTCGTACAGCCTTCAACGATGCGCGTAAACGATCGCTAAAACTCGATACGTCTCACATTTAACTCCAACATATAACTTTTCGTCGCTCTCCCCTTGAAAACTCATTACTGTCCTCTATCAAAAATGGAACCGTCAATTCTGTTCAATATCACTGGAGAATTTACGTAATGCAAAAGTTTAAGAGAATATCTCAAAGAAAATCTAAAGTCTGACAGCCTGAAAGATTAGAAGATAATTAGAAACATTTATGATGTCATTTAGTTTCGCAACCTTGGTATTATCTTTTAAGCTTAATGGAAATGAATTTTATCAGGTCTTTTCGCAACATATAATATTTTTTAATGATCTTTTAAATGCAATATTTTGTCGCGTAATATTGATAGTTGTTATATTTATATAAAATCTTTATTTTTTAATTATCATTAAAAATTTATAAATTATATTATTTTATGTAGCCAAGAATTTTCATTCTTTCTATGTGTATTTTTCCTTTAAACAAACTTGTCAAGTGCTATTGAGAATTACATGAAAAAAACAAGGTTCTTATCAATAAATCAAGATTTTTATCAATAAATCTGAATGTATCGATAATAAAATGGATCAGTAGATTATGAAGATATTCTTGCAATATTGAAAAAAGTCAGATTGCGTTATCACACGCCGAATGCATTATATTATGCGATAATAAGTAGACTGCACGAAGCATCATGTGCTTGAAGCACATATTGTTTGTAAATAGCTAAAAAAAATTAATTCCAGAAACATCGATAATTACCGACATGTAATTTTTACACGAGCTTGTATACTGTTTGAATTCAAGATAAATGATTAAATGTTTTTCTTATCAATGATTTCTCGAGAACTAACATCTGAGGAAATTGATACAACGAGATATGCCTAGTGCGAATTTATAACGAAATTTTTTATTATAAAACACAAAAAACCATTATTTATACTTTTCTTTGGATTTGAACAGTATTTAGAATTTGTCAGAGTTTGTAAAAAATTGAATTTTTTATCGCGAAAAGAGGATATTATCATAAATTGAATGTAAAATAATTGTATTTGTGAAGAGGAAAAGAGAGAGAGAGAGCAATATTTCGCCGATCATCGATAACCGATAAAACTGTTTTAGCGTCGATTAAATTCCTAGCAAGGTTAAGCATAGCATTTCCTACGATCGACCAATGGCTCGACATTTGCGATTCTAACTGCGCTTCGTCGCAGTCGCTGTCATTAGTAGGCCGCTCGGGTCATAAGGTGAATTTGAGCAATCGGAAGGGCGATGAGCGGGCGAATCCAAGCACAATGGTCGGAAATCTATTTCGAAATGAAAACGTGACAGGCTTTTAGGAATCTTGATGAGAAAGATAATTGGTGTAATAAAAATAATTATTGACATCCCATTATAATAAATGTTCACTTATACAAATATGTCATTACATGTATAACGATTTTTCGCAAGAGATTTTCTTTTAGCAAAAAATATTCAAGACATTGAAACAATCTGAAATTTTTCTTGATATTTTGTTTCATAATATCCATACTAAAGTGATTATCAAATAAGATGCACGTGATGATTAATATGCTATTTATAAATTAATATATATTAATATCATCACTCTCTCTTAGTCATTAAAAAATTCTAATGACATGAAGAAATGACATAAAGATATACTGAATATAGAGCCAATTCATCAACTTCAATCTTTATTATGATATCGATGAAGTTAACAAACTGTCAAGTATATTGATAAGTTCAATTTTTTTACCTATTATAATTATTTTTCATATTAAATATATTTATTTTATATTTATATAAATTTTATATTTATATAAAATGAAAATAAAAAAAATACAAATATCGTCCCTTTATTTTTTTTGTTGAAAAATGCATAAACTGCACGATAATTGAAGATTCATGCAATTGTAGGATACGGATCTATAGCATATTCTTCTGTTATTATAAAATGAAAAAACCTTGACGAACTATCCCACGCGAAGAGAAGGCAGCTGATTGCGGGAAACTCAACGAATCTTATCCGATACTCATGTCAGTGGCATTCGTTAGTGAGGATGCAACTTGAATTTGATTACTACTAAAGCCGTACTTGTTATGCCACGCATAGAACCATCGTCATGCGTGTCCGATTCATCGTCATTGGACCTCGACCTTAAAAAGCGGTCACCTCGCAATCGCAACAAGACGATTGTTACTAAGACTTTCGAAAAACCTTCGAGTAATTTTGCCATATTTGCAATAATGATACATGAATAAAAATAATGACTGTTCACAATGAAAATAACGATTTAATTTAGCCTCAAAACATAAGAAATCTTGATCGAAAAATATTAGATGTTTTTCTACGTCGTTATCCTCTCTGTTCATCAAATAAATCTTCATAACATATGATTTAAACTGATGATTGATTCTATCCAAAATTAGACATATATATTTGTCAGTGAATTTTTTCATCTATTTATTAAAGAAAAAAGTTTTCCGAATCTTTCCTTTTCTATTTTTCAATATTTTATGAGACGCGAAGTAAACGCAGAAGATAGAATATCTATCCAGTTTCATCATTTTGTACGTCGAAAATGTTATATATGATTGTGTTGTGTGTATTTCAGCTTTCATAAAACATCATTTTTCAAATAATCGTTATATTATATCTCGTATCAAAATTTTTACCTTTCATCTTTTGATTCTGAGATAAAATTTACTGACCTGATTGATTGGTTTATAAATAATCTTTTTCGACCGTAATGAAATAAAGCTTTAAAAGTTTATACGTGACTTTTTCTAATTAAAAATCAATTAATTATTCTTTTATCAATTAATATAAAAGGAAATAATTTCGTATGCAATAATATAAACTTTAAAATTTGAAAGATCATTTGATAGAATTAAATAATCATCTCATAAATCTATTATTCCTACATAATTATCACAATTGTCATTTTTATCCTAAATTAAAATATTAAATATTAAATTAAATATAAAATATTAAATTAAATAATTTCCAAATTAAATTGATTAAAAAATAGACATTTTACTATTTTTAAAAGCTTTTTTGCGATTAGAAATAATCATATTTTCAAAAAAGAGAGTTTTCCAAAATAAAATGTTCTTTGAAAATTCCACAACTGACTCACCGTACAAGGGCAATCATCATGGTGTACTGTCCTCCGATCTTCACAAGTCCGACATTCTGAAGTATCAGCCCGGTGATCAGCATACCGATCAAGGCTGGAAGGGTAGTTAAAGACATCAACCAACCCCCGAAATGCGCGGCAATGCACAGGGCGGCCAACCCGAACAACTGACCACCCGGGGCTGCATCATCGCCGATTACCAAGTAGACAATACCCCAGAGTAGGAGACCCAAAAGGAAGAGACACAATACCCGTGCGAATTTCCTATATGTTGGACAGAACGGCTGAGGACATGCTTTTCTCCAACCCGGTGGCTCCCACGATGGAGTATCGTCGCGACCGTGACATCGCGCGCAAAATAGATACAGCCACGACCTAGAAGAGACGTAAATGAAATAAATGATGTGGACATTATGTGCGAAATGCGGTCAATAGAGAGTATTGCTCCTTTATCCAACGTATTTTTTATAACGCGTGATTCAGGAATTTAAAGTGGTATAATCTTCATAAAATTAATCTTCCATTTTAAAGATACTGCAAATAATTACATAGCACACGAATATCAAGTAGGTTTTTGACATGAATAATTATTCATCGGTATCAAGACTGCCTGATAAAATTTAAATCCTTTGAAGTGCGATAGAGATGTGATATCGTGATGGAGCAAACTTTAAAGACAAAGAAGTGCTTGTCTCTTTGCGATAAGAATAAAAATTGCTTTAGACATCGCTTAAAAGAAATTTGCTTGGATTAACGTCTTTACGAGTATAAATTAATAACTACAGTCTACTAATTGACCTGCTAGCTTATCCGCGGAGACAATTTGTAACTGATAAACTAGCTGTGATTTCAAAGCGTGATACTGACGGTTATTAATGTATGCTGTCTATATACTTCCACGTAATACAAACGGGTAATTTTATTTGCGGTTTTACACGCGGCAGTCCATTACACTATATTATATCTGCGTACAATAATAATTTCGAGTTAACAAGTTTATTATAAAATTGAAGGCGTATATTATAATTCATAATATATACATACTCATTTATCAAGAATTAATAATTTATAAATTCTCGAGTTAATAATTTATCAGCTATATACTTTGAGAAAAGCTTTTACTTTCTCTTTCCTTTTTCTCTCTCTCTCTCTCTCTCTCTCTCTCTCTTTTGCTTATAATTTTTTAATAACTCTATACTTGAATTTTAAATTAAATTTTTACTGATTGAGTTTTAAATTAAAATTTCTGAAAAATTCGATGCAGAATTTGCAGGATTAATGAAAAACAGATGCTATAATTTTGAAACATCTTGTAAATTAATACAAAGTATGTAGTAAATTAAACATAGATGTAGTATACATTTTGTTTTTTTTTATTTTCACATAATTTAATTAAATTTTCAAAATTTTTTTGTAAAAGCATGATTTTTTATGAGGAGTTTGCTAATATTTCTAATGGATTTTGTAAAAATTATCACAAATGAACAATGAAATAATATTGCAAACCTTTTATAAACTCATCAAAAAAGAAAGCACAAGTGTACAGCTGAAATTATGTAAATTAATCAGGTTTTTAGTAAACAGACGTAGAGCGTTTTATATTTTTGCGCACAGATAATCACCATCAAGAAAATGAATATAAGTGATAAACAATAGATACAAAATAGAATAATTCATGATGCTAAATGTCGCCTTAGCACATAAATAATTTGGATGGCTTTGTCATACAAATTACAGAAAAGTTTTTATTGAATTATGAATTATGTAAAATTATTAACTATATGTAGCAAAAAGTACATAGTGGAAAACTTAGACAATAATTTAAAAATATTACTTTTATATAAATATATTCAATGATATTTAAAATTATATAAGATTCTCTAAAAAATTACAGAAATATTCTAAAATAAAATTTTCACTAGAAGTTCATTTCATTGTTTTCTTGAAGAGATCTTGACAATTTTTTTGGTAAACTTTTCTCTGATAAACAATGAAATTGATCAAAACTAATGGTTTACCTAAAAAATTATATAAAATTTACGATAAAATGTCAAAAAAAATATATAGTTATTTTGATCTATTATCGCCTGTCGAGTAATTGGTTTATTTATTCATTACACATGACTCATTATCACATGCTCGTGCTGGTATCTCTACAATTTTTTTACGATTAATTGTATTATTGCTACACGTATGTTTCGATTGTTTCATAAAATGCAACGATTATGTATCATCATTTTACTTGATAAAAGTTATCAAAATAGGTCGATCGAGAATAATATCGAAAGTAGATTCGAAAGTATCGACAGATAGATCTTGCAAAGTTTATCAAGATAATCGAGTCTCACCTCTCGAGCTCCTCGGAATATTCAATCTTGTCTCTGATCGAACTGGACAGACTATAGGCCGATTTTTTTCTATTACCGTTGATCCTACCATTTTCCAGATCAAACTTGTATTGTGGAATATTCTCCGCGCTCTCGCAGTGACTGCTGCCGTGATGTAGGATTGATTTCCGTCTGCCTTGATCAGAATTGTGCTCCGAACTCGCGCTGATGCGCCGATTATGCTCGAAGACGGGATTATCAAGTCCCATAACTTGATCGCTAATTGACACTCGTCTCTTCGCTAATTCCTCGTTGGGTTTGTTCATCCTGCCGCTCATATCGATCTCCATTTCTTGCTGATCTTCAATTGCTAAGAATCTCGTCGATGTCAATTGATTAACGATCTAGCAGATTTTAAAAATTTAACGAGGTCCGAAATTCTTTGCGGGAATTTTCTCAAATAGGTCGATCGATCTGTCCACGCGACGAAGCTGTGGATAAGTGTGATTTGTGTTCAAACGCGATCGAAATCACCTCATCGACCACGACATAACTGTCAATTCTGATACACTGATGCTATTGATCGTGAAAAGCCCGAAGCACAGTCGCTGAACGTATTGCGACGAATCACACGTTTGCCACGTTAGCGACGATCGTTAGCAGATGAGTCTCGTGACAGGAGTTGACTGTCGCGACAGGGACGAGGTGATCGGTTGTCGCGACGACGACGCTAATACGTTGCGACGATTGACGTCTTTGGCACCTTAGCCCGCTTTTACCAGATTATCTCTTGTGTTCTATGCTTGTTTCCCGGATTGGTTCTCCGCACTACGTTGGAGGTACAGTTTTGTCCATCTCGTTAGCGCGTCTCTCAGGGTCGACATCGACGCACTTCGATAGCGAACTTTTCCACAATGCGACATGTATCGCAAACAGATGTCCATGTGATGACTTCGCGCTCTCGATGAAAAACCGACGATGACGGAGGTCTCATCGGCTCGACGAATCCACGGTTACTCGCTTCGATGCGGAGACGCGATCGCGAGTTCGCGCGATGTCGGTCGGATTCGATGCGACCGGTGCATCTCGCTTTAGCGTAATTCAGGCTTTCGCATAAACGGAGTCCCCTTCGCGTGAGGACGGTGAGAAGAGTCTACTGCCGGTCGGTCCCCGTCGTTTCGATAGCACGAGCGACGACGCGGTTAACGAGCGACTAAAAGCGACAAAGTGCGCGGCAAGCAGTGGTGTTTTATGCGAATGGGTAGTGGGGTTCTCTCGTAAAAAGTGCTCGAACCGTGGACGAACGAGCACGGACAGTCACGGCGGCCCGTGACGATAATTGTCGCGCGATGCACACAGGATGGGCACAGCTGTTCACCTCATTGACAAACTGGCAACGGTCCGTTGCGTTTCTGTCAGCGGCTCGTCCCGAGCCTCGATCCGGAAGATCGACAAATTAAATCGAATATATATTTTAGCCGCGCCCTGAATTTCGCCAGGCAGTCTCGCGATCGAAATACAATGGACAAACCTGCTGGGAAATTTCAACGCTTGCAAATTCTATAGGTATTAGTGAGGAATGACGGATATACACATCTAATTAGCGTATTAATTTCTATTTACACTGCTCATTCATCCTCATAATAATCGATTATTTTCACGGGAAATATTTCCAATCCCTCGATATTAAAAATTATTTGAAATAGCATGACGCAGAGAGATTGCGCTGAATATGAATGTTACTAATAATTTAATACCGTATCACTGTACATCATTCAGTGAGCATTTATTGACTAATACCGAGATATTACGGGATTGGATGTAAATTTTCGATCCCAGGTTTATCCCTCGTCAAAATTCTTGACAACTGAAAGTAATCCTTTCTGACAGCTTTAGTAATAGTTGCTACGTGGTTGGCATACAGTCGTATCTTAGCCAATTTCCTCGTTTTGCTGCACTTAAAGACGGATGTACATAAAAAAAAACACGTGATTGCTGCGTTGATATGTCGTGCGTTTTATCAATATCTAAATGATAAAATCAAGCAATGCACACACTTATGTTTGATAGCGTTGCATCAAATAACGGATTTTGAGAATGCCATTAAGTTAGGATATAATATTACATATATAACAATATAAAATATAAAGATCATATAATTTTAGCACACATTATCGTCAATCTTTCTTCTTCATGAGCGCTTTGAACGATACTCGATATTGAAATTAACAATTTGAGGCCGGTATTCATAATCGATCATTATTTCACGAGAATAATTATAGTTTCATAAATCTCCGATTATTCATCAATCTATTGAATTTTTACAAGAATTTATATTCTTCGGATAATGTTTAATTCACGAATCGTTTTGATTCATGATTCATCAGATTTTTGACGATTTCAAATTTATGGATAGTAGATTCAATCGTTATTTATTTAAAAGATAAATTAGAAGATATTTAAAAATTATTTAGAATATAAATTCTAAATTATGGAAAAACATGAAGCTTTTCATTTAGTATCTTTTCATATTTATACTTAAATGCTAAATAATTAGAAATTTTAAATTATATTTAGTGTAATATTAATTATATCACAATATGATAATATAATATCACAGTTTAATATAAATTACTATTAATATTATATTAATTACATTTAATAGATCGATAATATTAACATTAACAAGTAATATATAATAATATGATAACAACAAAAAGCATTTTTAATTTTCACATTTCGAAAACTGAAAATTATTTAAAACTAAATGCCGACCTTTTATCGAGATTCGCTTCTTATCATTTATCAATCGTTTTAATTTTCCAAGCGATATTTTTTCGATTTAATCTATAATGTAAATAAGCACAAATGCGATACATATTTGTAATCATAGGCACTCATAATGCGATTCTATTGATAGTGCAATCAACAAAATTACTATGCGATTATTGCGGCCTCCTGTATCGGGAATCAAATCGTTCTGTTTCGTATCAATTTCATCATCTATTGATCGATCCTTGGGCACTTGTTAATATTATTGTCACATTTCGTCATCGCGCTTGTTTGCTTATACGATTGTACATAATTCTATTTGGAAGTCCATTCATCGGAATTCGATTTATGGACTTCTCCAACTTTGGATCAATAAAATGAACTTCCGCATAGATCTTGTTATACGAAAAACTTTAATCTTCGAATATGTAAAGAAATAACGCAACAATGAAATTTGAAAAATCTCATATTTCATAAATTGTAAAATTTGAAACTTAATTTGATATCTCCTCTCTCTTTTGGTATTAATATAATATAATATTTTAATAAAATAAAAGAGAGATAAAATTACATTACAGAGAGGGAAAGAATTAGATTAACATTTTAGTAGTTTATTCCGAGAAATCTGTGGTTGCTATTATTCCACTTCATTTTTATTCATTAGTGCTCTGCAAAATTATTAAAGTTTAGTTTTACATTAAAGACCGGCAAATTGAATGGGCGAAAATAGAGTGAATAGAATTGAGTTCTTAAAGCGCAGGAAATTGTGTGAGTGTGTGTGTATGTGTGCAAATTTCTATTTTAATTTATTTCTCGTCTGGTGAACGAGAAAATACAGAAGGAAGGAGGAGTCCTAGACGGAGAAGGAAATGAAATATGTTGGAGAGATGGTTGACGGTTGGAATACGCGTGCAGAAAACAGGAAGAATTTATAGCAGCTCCTTGTACTTGTATTTATCGACAAAGTTCCATCGTTAACAAGATATCGCAACCAAGTTTAATGAAGAAAAAGGAGTAAATAGACAGGGAATCATAAAATTGTTCAGATGCGAAACTCTTAAATCCACATATCTAACTTTCTAAAATCAAGAAATGCTAACAAAATCATAAATCCCTGTGGGGTAAATCTAAAATACAGATAAGAATGTGATTCTTGATTTTCTTTTCTTTTTTAAAACGAAATGTCATCGTTTTTAATATAATGCCGTATAATGTGTAAAATATATCAAATAGCATGTATCTTATATTACATTTTTATAATACGTGCATTATAAAATGAGACACAAATATTTACATACAACGTGCTGGTCATTATTCATTCAAAGCATATTTTTTACGAATAGACAAAACAAATAATTTCACCTTCCTCCGAGTTCCGTGGGCACATCGCGACTCAAATTTCTACTAATGATGAAATCGTACGCTTCTCGGACACGCTTGCGGAAGTCGAGCATTGTCGTCCCTCGTTAATGCAGTATTCTTATACGGCTCCATGCGTCGTACGTAGATAATGCTCGTCCGTAATCTGCAATACTATTTAATATCACGATATTATGAATGTATTTCTGGTTTTTTATGATTTATACAAGTACAATTCTCATATGGAAAATTGAATTAGTTGTCATTTGCTTCATTCAAGAATTAATAAAATCTAAAATACAATAAAATCTTCAAATTTAAAAATGTTTACTTTTAAAATAGCAACTTTTAAATTAAAAAAAATATAAAACTAAATATTGTATTAATCCGTAAAAATTAATTTTAAACTCTTTTTTCTGTAACCAACAAAAAAATAAGAAAAAATATATGTTAAATAAATGAAAAGAAATATAGAATAAACGTCCAATATAAAATATTTAAATCAATAGTGCACACATTGCTTTTTTTTAGAATTTATTTTTTTTTTAATCATGTTGCTGACATTTAAATTAATTGTGACAAATTTTGCTTTTTTGATGCTTTTATCGACATTGATAATTAATTAAAACAAAAAAATACTCAAACTTAAATATCTAAATAGATTGTGAGTTCGAAGCAATTCGAGAACGGAAATTGCATAACATTTTTATCTATCCACGCGGAAAAATTGGTGAAAAATTTGTGATATGTTCTGTCTTGGCAAGCAGTGATGTATCGCAATTTAGGGAACACGTTGTTTCGTTTCTACGTCCGTCCATGGTTGAACATTCCGCGGCTGACAAAGTCACGCGAGAAACGTCTACGTCCCTCGCAAGAGTGTGTAGGAAGGAGGAGGGAAGGAGGTTGCGCGAGAGACGAGGTCGAAGATGGGATTGGAATTGCAAATATCCCTCTTCTCTATCTCTCTAGTCTCTGTAATCTATCTCTTCTCTCCTCCATCGACCACCCGTCTCTCCCGTGCTTCGCTTTAACTCCAGGTCGTGTATGAGGTGCATATCGCGGAGCATGTTCTACGGAATCCTCGCTGGACGACAAATCGCCAGATTTTGTCCCCATCACAACCGGATTTAAATTTAACAGCCTGTGACGCGCGAATGAGGTGCTATTCTTATATCGCATCATATTCTCAACATCGTCTCAAAAATGTATTTGTCAAGTTGAACCAAGCTTTCTCGCGTAAATATGATGCATTAGCATCTTGTTGAGTATACAGCTCTTATAATTTTAGTATATTTTCCTCTTAGTTTCAGTTCTGACTTATTTAGTTCATAAATCTGCCTTTTTTAGATACTAAAATGCAAGTTTTTGTTTATTCGTATTACATATACATTAATCTCACTTTTTGTGCATCCAGTGCCACGTTCTATGGAACAGATGGGAAGGGGAATAATTGACAAACTAACAATGAACGAAATGTATAAGAACGCAAAGAGGAGACGAGTCGCGCGCAGAAAATGACCGCGTGATACGCGCGCTGCGTCAAATTAGCTTAAAAGCCTCGGAGCAACACGGGATCCTACAACGCATTCTGCAACATGGTCCAACACACAATGTCCAACGCGCGGAGAAAAGCCCTATTCGCCCTCATATATCACCCGGAGATAAAAGGCTGCCAGACAACGACGGAAAGTATAGTGGTTTCGGCGACACGCCGGATAGGCGGTTCATTGCGCAGCTGCACCTCGTGCCCTATAATAATTCGGTGGTAGAAACGAAGAGAAATTGTACGTCACGTGCCGGTATCTATTTACCTCTTCCGCTAAATGAAAATATGTACTTCAGAATGCTTCCGTTTCGATTTACGGTTTCATGGAAGGAGCAAAACTTCTCCCGCACCGTTGCGAATAAAAATATTGAATAGATCCGCACGCAAAACGAATATCAAGAGAAACTTACACGATCTTTTTATACAAGATAGACTCAAGATAATTAAACTTTAATTTTATCTTTGTTGAAAACGCGATAAAACATTTTTATTGTAATTTGTTATTTCTTTAACGTCAAAAAATAGATTGAATGAATGTCGTTATGATTCTTTGATAACAGTTACTCCAATCTGCAATAATCGGAGCGAATCTCTTCCTTTAGCTTTATATAGAGCAAAAAGAGCTTGTATGTGTAATCGATGTGCGGTCGACTCTTTTTTCCAATACGTCAAAATGTGTTCTTACACAAGCTCCCTGCTCCAATTTTTTTGCATTACAAGAATTTTTATTGAGAACTACCGCGCTGATTATTATTCGTCCCATTTTCGATCTTTGTGCTGCTTTTTACGTTCCCGGTAACGTCGATCATGGTCAAATGTTGTAGGTTTTTGTACTGATCCGAATAATATTGGCAACCTGTAAGAGCGAACGAAAAAGCTTCTCCATTCTTTTTTCGAATAAAATCGTACAATATAGTTTCGTTTTCTTGCTTGATGGTGGTTCTTCAAGTCACCTACCTACGGCTGGCGACATTAAAGATTTCTTGCGATAGCGTGCTTTGGATATACGGTAAATCCTCCAGTCACGTTAAAGCGAATTACGGATGCAAGTCCGAGATGGGAATTATCGTGACTGAGATGGAAATTACAATGGTTAGTTTCAAATACAAGATTTTTCACGTTTGTCGTATCCGAAGTGAAATATTTTAAAGTTCCTTCTCCCTGCATATTCTTTTATGCAACAGCATACGAATTATCTTTTTTCTTTAGTTTCTTCATCAATGAACTTTGGCACGTATTCTCGGCATAAATTTCTCATTACATTCACATCTTGATTCTTGCTTCATTTTTACATAAACAAAATCTTTACAAATAATAGGTCAAGTAGCAACATCCATATTTATTTCTACACATTGTAGATTTATTTTTAAAAAAATTTTAGTGTTGCATTTCTACAAAATTCAAAGACACTATTAACCGTAAATATGCAGTAAGAATAT